AAATAAATAATAAATGTTTAAAACATCCATCATTTATTAGATAACCATTACCTGCCTCTCTTTTAAATGATGAATTTTTTTAAAACCATCATTTTTAATGGCTTTATATATCAATTATTTTGTAGTAGTGGTTTGTCTGGGGTTGTAACATTTTTTTATTATATTAATAATTTTAAAATTTCTTATAGCTCTGAAAAAATTTAAATAGTGAAAACTAAGTTTAAGGAGACTGAGTTGTAACTTTCTTATATTATAACTTGTACATACAAGCTTCATCAAAGTTGGGGAACAAGGGAGTAAGAAATACAAAATTTTGTAAAAATAATATTAAAAAATTCATGAGATTGTTTGATGTTTAGGTGGTAACTCTCAAGGGTGAAAATTTAGTATTTTCATTCACTTATGACATTTTAAAATTTTTGATTTTTATGAATAATTTTTAAAATTTTAAAATATGTTAGTATAGCTTTTTGTAATCTTGAGGTACTTTTACATCATTATTTTTTTTTTCATTTTGATATTTTATTTGACTTGTATATAAATGAATCTATTTTTTTCACTCGTTACTCATTCCTCTTAATCTAACCATATTTTAAGAATACTTGTACTATATGAGTGATATAAAATTTCACAACACTGCTCCCAAAAAAATTCACAGATCAGAGAAACTTTTTTTTAAAAAAAATATGATAATTTCATTCTAATTAAGTGTAATATTTTTGTGCAAGACACCAGAAGAAATGGAGATTCAATTTACTAAGGTTTGTTTTCGACACAAAAAGATACTAATGGAAATTTCGTGCAGTTGCTTAAGTTTGAATTTTGTGTTGTAAATCTCAACTATCGTCAAATCAAATCTGGAATGATTGGTTCATGATACAACGTTAATGAGAAAGATAGCTAGATAGATGACAAGTTTACAAAGAGGAAAGCGCAGTGGTTGCACTAATAATCACGTGACAAAAAGAGACATGAGAATGTGAGAAATGTGAGAAATGTGAGAAACGTGGGCAAAGGAACAGACTAGAGCCGCCATGGAATAACAACACCAATAGTTTTGCCAGAAAACAATTCTGGGAAAGTGGGAAAACGTCCTTCAAATTCACACTCACTGCTCAGTTAAGGTACCAATTGGAGGAAATCAAGTGGATTGAAAAATTAAAATAAAAATGAATTAAATCATACATTCTTTTATCTCATGATAAATATAATAAAATTTAATATTATATATTACAAATATCAAAATCATTACACATTCAAAAATCTCATGTATCATGACTCAATTTTATAAATTAAATTATTATTTTTTCTTATGGAGATAGTTCACTTATTCCCCCTCCACATTTTAATCATTTTATTTTATTTATAATTTTTCATCCACTTCATTCTCTTAATTCCTTTCTATCAATTAAACAAGACCCTAATCTCTCGTAATTTCTATGACAACAAACAGCAAGCAAAATTGTTTTTGAAAGAATTATTTTTAGTTAGACTTAATAATACTCCCTTTATTCCAAATTATAAAACAACTTTAAAAGAATTTTATTGTTCCAAAATATAAGACAATTGGAAAAAAATAAGGTTATATTAATATTTTTTTTAATATTACCCTTCAAGTAGAGAGTGAATCAAAATAATATTATAATATAATAATTAAGTGTGTAAGGATATTTTTGAAAGCTTATAATTTTAGTTTAAAAAAATAAGATTGCAAAGTGTCATTATTGTGTTTTATTGATATGCATAATCTAATCTCAAATTATTTTATAATTTAAAATGAAGGGAGTATCTAAATCTGACCTAGTCAAAAATCATATAAAAAGAAGATTGTTCCAATTAGTTAAATTTTAGAAAAAATATAATTGTCCGTCCTTATACATTTAGCATATTTTAATATTATTATTTTTTTCTCATTTACTCCTAATCCTTTAAATTTCATTTAATTTGCTTGTAACATTAGTCTTTATATTTTTAAATATGATTATAAAAAATTAATAGTGACTAATATACATATAAACTTCATTACTTCTAATGCTCACTTGTTAAAATTTTGATAGGTTGCATAAAAAAGAATAGAAAGCAAAAAGAAAGCAATAAGGATATTGAATCAACATTTTTAAACACGTAATGGATGAAGCTTATCAAAAAAAAAAAAATAGATGGCTAGTGTAGAAAGACAAAAAAGTTAGTCATCATTTTATTTGTACAATATTTAACTCATTATTAAAAATTTTACCAACTCAATAATAGAATTATGAATATATTAACATATTTAACTCCGTTAATAATGATAAAGACTAATATTGCCAACAAATAATACTTAAAAGATGAGGAGCAACAAAAAAAAAAGAACTTAAAGCATGCTAAAAGCAACAATTATATTTTCCTTAAATCTTAACATATTAATAATACTATTATAAACGGTTAGAATTTAATGTAAATAATAATCCATTGGTATGTGAATGTGAAGAAGCAAAGTGAAGGGAAGCGACATTTACGGGACTTATACACAGAAGTGGGAAACGCGCAGGGGTGAACGGGCGGTGTGTATTTAAATAACATGTAAACAAAGAAGGAGAAATAATTGCAGCCATCATAAACGCGTTTGAGTTTGACTCAGAGAAAAAGAGCAACAAATGAAAGGCAGAGATCATCCAATTTTACGGCTATAATAAAAACATAATTAAGGGTACACACACGGACACGCCTTGCAGAATCCCACCGACCCCTTTGACTATTTGACACACTCGTCCCTTCAATTTCCTTCTTCATGTCCAATTCTGGAATTTCATTCTCTTTCTTAACTTCATGTCATCCCACATCACTCGTATTAGTCTTTATAATCGCATCAGCATTCATCCTTAAGATTCTTTTCAATCGCCGCGTGCTTCATACCTCTTCCTCCTTTCTTTGTTTCTTTACTTTTTTTTTTCAAAAAAAAAATAATCATTTAATTCTTATAATTTTGACCTAATTATAATTTAATTTTTAAATTTTAACTCGTTATAACTCTAATTCTAAAATTTTGACTCAATTATAAATCAGTCCTTGAACTTTACCTTTTACAATTTAGTCTGTGAAGTTTCAATCTCTTAAATATTGATCCCTATATTTTAAAAAAATTATAAAAATTAAAAATATTTTAATTTTTAATATTTATAAATATTAAAAGGGTTTAGTAATTTAAGATAGTATTACTAAATTTTAAAATATTTTTAACCTTTAGAATTTTATTTTTTTTAAAATAAAGGAACTAATATTTAAGGGTTGAAACTTCAAGAACTAAATTGTAAGAGGTAAAGTTTAAGGACTGATTTACAACCTAATCAAAATTTTAAGGATTGAATTATAATGAATCAAAGTTTAAAAATTGAGTTACAATTAGATTAAAATTATAGAGACTAAATAATTTTTTTTTTAATAGAAATCTTGAGGTCTCATCAGGATTAGAGCATACTTCTACGCTTAAAGAGATACTTATATAGGCATCAAGATTTGAAACCACAATCTTAAAATTATGGGTGAAATCTTTACCAATGAGATTAAGGTTCACACCTCCTTTTCTCTCTCCATGTCTGATCCTCTCACATCAACACAATTTAAAATTCTGAATGAGATCCCTTTGAAGTTTGCCAAATAAAATCTGTGATATATGGAATTTAACCTCAATTTATTTACTATTAGCTTAATCACCTGGAATCAGGACCCCGCATTCTTGTGAATTGTCAATCAAACTTGAATGACAAAAACAAAAACAAAACAAAAACAAAAAGGTTTGTGATGTAAAGGTATGAACTGGCTCCTCACATTTTCAATATACGATATGTGACATCAATTCACTAAAGTCAAAAAGAAATTATCCCTTAGGACAAAAATCAAAGGAAGCATTTACCATTGGTGCGTCAATGACCTGTTTTCTTTTCTTGAGACCCGGTTTCATGTTCATTCAAGTAATTCTTCTATAATTCATAGCCAATAGAAACTTATCATGATGGAGCCATAAGAAATCTTGGACTAAAGCATATTAAATATGAAATTCACGCTGAAAACGGTTTAAAAAATCCTTTGAATGAGAAATCATCTCATTTCCTCAATTATTAAATCAAACCAGTATTCTAGGTCGCGGTTTACTTATTGGAAGAGAGTGTGAAAAGGATCTATTTCCTGCCAATTTTTTATTATTATTATTATTTTTTAACCAACAGGAAAAAATTTTCTTTTTTTTTTTGACCTGATAATTTCATTGAAAAGTTACTGCCAAGCCGAGGCACCATAAAAGTTGAATTCAAGTTAATAAAGTAATAGAGGCACCACAAACACTTACAGCATGTTTGGTTTCCGATCCTATTTTTGGTTTTTAAAAGCTGTTTTATAATACTGTTTTTAAAATTATTTTTCAAAACAAAACAAAATAAAAATCTTTTTGATTATGTTAATTTTAAAAATAATTTTAGAATTAAAAAATAAATTGATAGTGATAATTATAAGTAATTAATGATGATAATTTATGATAAAAATTAAATTAACTTTAATTTTTAATAATTAAATGTAGTGTATTTTAAAAATAAAAAAATAAATCAAAACAACTTAAAATTATTTCTATTTTTTATTTTTAAAAAACAAAAAATGACAACAGTTTTAGAAATAATTAAATTGAAAACACTTATCCAAACAAAATTTTAAATTTTTTTATTTTTAAAAATAAAAAATAATTTTTAAGAACAGAAAACAAACAGGCCGTTAGACAGCTAAACTCAAACAAAAATTGTCATGAGTGAAGAACAATTCTTTGATAACTTAACAAACGTCAAGAGACTATTTGGTTTTATCTGCCTCAGACGTTGCTAGCTAGAAGTTATGTGACCACCCTGCTCAGTTTCCAAAGCTTTACTATTCATCTGCAAATAAGCATACTAGCGTGGATGCGTGTATCTAGATTCCAATGAATGTTGTTCAGGAGCTTGTTTCTTCTATTTAAAGGGGGGGGGGGGGAAGGTAAATGATCTCAACAGAAAAGGGAGAATAATTTAACTACATAGAATCTGTGAAACGTTTAATTATGAGTTCAGCCAGCACAAAATGATTGGAAATTTAAAATTATGGACGATTTAGTGAATTACGGTTTCATATCCGTAGAGTCTCTCTATACTATAGCAGGAGACTCGAGTCCTCAATTAGCACAACGAGAATGCTACTGATCCTTGTATCTCTTCTCCACTTCCTCCAGACTTTGGACATCCTTCTGATACTTACAGATCCGGTAGATAGACCTGCCACCACGTTCATATACACCTTGGAGTCAGAATCCCAAAAGATAACAAGAACCAGTCCATTCCATATACAAGCCTCTACTGTAAAATTGTTGCTTACCAGTATAGAAGACATGCTGAAGCACACAGTATGACGTTTCTCTGAGCTTTGTAGAGCTAGGTTAACCCACCCCAAAAAAAAAAAAAACAAGAAGAAGCATCAATAATGTAAGTTGGTTCAGAAAAAAGAAGAGGAAAGATATAACTTTCATTTCTTCAAATACTGGAAGCTCAAGCATCAATCACTCAGTTTGATGCTGAATCAGACGAAATCAAGACGGGAAAATTTTAATCTATTGTTGATTTTTATTTTCGTCTTGAAAACAATTTCCTTCTCTGTTAGATATTATTATTCACCTGCCATAATCTGTACAACTAGTGTGCAATTCAAAAATTCATTCTAAATTGATTAGTGATATTTTTATAGCTTGACGTGCATGTCTCACAAATTCTCAGTCCTCCGGTATTTTGTTATCATGATGATAATCTAACAAATTTATTCCTGACTAAACAATTCATGGCATCATGCCATTTTGTATCCTATTGTCCTCTTGTTGAATAAACATGGTCAGTGAAGGCCAAACACTCAGACAAATTCAAAACCATACAAGCCAAGAGCCTGGTAAATCATTTATAACACCTCTATCATAAGTTTAAAGATAAACATAAAGATCATTTCTAAATTAAACATCATCATAAATGTTTCGTAACTGTTACAAGCGGAAGGAGAAAAGAGAATAAAAGAAGAACATTATTCAATAGACCCGCATTACATCATTAGGACCCTATTTATAGAGATATTTACTATATTCCCAAACTACACTTTTACCCCCTAATTTCCCTAATTACCCTTACTATTTCTAAATCCCATGTATCAGTAACTGCCATTTAAAATTTGTCAATTACAGGTGATATTTAGTTAGCTCAATGGTATTGTGCAATTCGTGTAATTGACCTCACCTAATAAGATAAGACTTGCTATATTTAGTTAGCTCAGGCTACAATATGTTCTGAGTTCTCCCTCTTGATATTCTCCCTTCTCTACTCTCGTTTCTCAAGTAAAGGAAGAAAACGTATTCAACCAAGTCAGACTAAAACATAAAATGATAAAGGTTCTTGAGAATTATAGTTTTTAGTTTGGCGGGCATACAAAATAAAACTTCAACAAATGATGGATTTACAGTCAGTTTTGATCGACTGAAGTACATATTACACCATATATTTGAGAGTTAGAGGAACTGAATCTCTTCTCAATTATATCAACTTCATCAAGAGATCATAGGAAGGAACGAATTGTTGTATGGAAACTAAAAAAAGGTGCAATCTGATTCCCAACCACGATATGTTCATAAAAAATTTACTTTTATAACCTTGCACTTGCTTTACAAGACCCATAAGTAAGCTACTACAAGCTTTTGAAAATATATGCTACTAGATCGTGGGACTAAATTGAACAAATTGAAAGTCCAGAATATGGTGTAAAATTCTGATGATCTCAAACTTAAATAAATCTAAAATTATAATACACAACACATTTTAAACTAATGAAGAGTAAGCTAAGATTAAGCATACTTAAACCATAAAAAATGGCTTTTGGATATTAGAAACCAAGTTTCATGTCATTATTTGGACCATTACAAGAATGTCAAGTTAACTTATCTACAATGATCTGTCATGAATTCAAGTTAACTGATTCAGAGTAAGATTGTTATTAACTGTGGCTTTTTCATTATGATATTGCTACCACTTTCAGAAAATTTTGCTCAGATTTACTTGATGCCATTTTATTTCTATTTTAGCAATAATACCATAGACTGTATTTTTTTACGATGACATTGTGAGGGTTGCAAATAAGGAATTCTGAGTATATAGAATCAGCTGTCCTCCTATTTTTCTCCAATATGTTAAGGAATTATTTTGGGAGAACTCGGAGGGGTTGATTCAACACAAATCACGGAGTGAAAAGATTTTTATTGAAAGAAACTTTAATGGGCATGTCGGGAAAGAGGCTGGTCAGTATGTGAGGGTGTATGGTGGTTTTGGTTTTGGAGAGCTAAATAATGAAGAACAAACTCTTCTTGATTTCTCATTGATGTATGATTTTAAAATTGCCAACACTTGTTTCAAGAAAAGAAATGAGCATCTTATCGCTTATAAAAGTGGAGTCTCAAGGTCACAAATTAATTTTCTTTTGGTTAGGAACACAAATAGAAAATTCTGTAAAAATTGCAAGGTGACTCCTGAGAATGCTATAACGACACAACATAGGATCCTTGTACTTGATGTGTGTATTATGAGTAAAATTCAAAAGCGTCAACAAGTAGTAGTATCAAGGATTAGGTGATGGCAATTAAAAGGTGAGAAGCAAGATATTTTCAAGCGGAATCTTTTGGACAAAGGAATTTAAGAATCTCAAGGAAGTGCTAACATCATGTGGGAGAACATGGCTAAAAAGATAAGAGAGGTTGCAAAAGTAGTTTTGGGAAAATCAAAAGATTCTGGTCCGAGAGACAAGGAGTCTTGGTGGTAGAATAATAGTGTACAGGACAAAATCAAATATAAGAAGAACTGTTTTAAAGCCATACATTTGTGTAACAATGAAGAAAATTAAGAGAGGTACCGTATGGCTAAGAAGGAAACTAAGATAGCTGTGAGTGAAGCTCATTCTAAAGCTTTTAAAGAACTTTACAAGAGCCTTGAGACGAAGGAAGGAAAACGAAATATTTATAAGATTGCTAAGAATGGAGAAAAAAAATTAAGAGATCTAAAATAGGTAAGGTGTATAAAGGATGAAGAGAGAAGAATTTTAGTTACACATGATGAAATTAAAAATAGATAGAAGACTTACTTTTCCAAACTTTTCAATGACGGAGAGGGTTCGTCTAGTAATTTGGAGGATTTAGCAACCCATGAAAGATAACAAAATTTGTCATTCTATACGTGATAAGGAGGTAAAGGAAGTTCTTAAGAAAATGACAAATGGTAGAATCAACAGACTTGATTGTATATCTATTGAAGTATGGAAATGTTTAGGTGAAGGAGGGGTGAGATGATTAACTAAGTTATTTAATGTGATTTTACGATCCAAAAAAATGCCTGGCGAATGGAGGAGAAGTACCTTAATTCCTATTTATAAAAATAAAAAGGATATTCAGAATTGTACTAACTATAGAGGAATTAAACTCATGAGCTCCACAATGAAATTGTAAGAGAAATTAATTGAGCATAGATTAAGATTGAAGACAAGTATTTCTGAGAATCAGTTTGGTTTTATGTCAGGTAGATCGACTACAGAGGCTATTTATCTACTAAGAGAATTAATGAAAAAGTACCGTTGTAAAGATAAAGATTTATATATAGTTTTTATTAATTTGAAAAAACCTTATGACTGCATACCAAGAGAAATACTTTGGAAAGCCTTAAAAAAGAAAAGAGTATGGATTGCTTATATTAAAATCATACAAGATATGTATGAAGGGGTAAAAACTAGTATAAGAATGTCTAGTGGTCAAACAAAGGACTTTCCTATAAAGATTGGACTACATCAGGGATCATCTCTGAGTCTTTATCTGTTTAACTTGATCCTAAATGTTTTGACAAAATATATTCAAAGAAAAATTCTCAAATGTATGCTCTTCGCGGATGATATAATTCTTACAGCAAATACAAGAGAAGAGATTAATTGTAAACTTGAGCTATGGAAGAGGACATTGGAGTCAAAAGGTTTCCATCTGACTAGGAGTAAGACGGAATATTTATATTATAAATTTGGTAAGAGACTAGTCAACAGTAATTTGAAAGTAAAATTGAGAGATCAAATTATACCTTAAGTGAAAAAATTTAAATATTTCGGATCCATTATTCAAAATGACAGCGAAATCAATGGGGATATTTCACAAGGATTCAAGTTGGATGGTTTAATTGGAGAAAAGCTAAAGGAATTATTTGCGATCATAAGGTGCCTAATAAACTTAACTAAAAGTTTTATCGTACTGCTATCAAACCAACTATATTATATAGTAGTGAATGCTAGGTTCTAACAGGACAACAAAAGTATAAAGTTGGAGTAGTAGATATGAGAATGTTACGATAACTGTACAGACATATACATAAAGATAAAATTTGAAATGAGCACGTATGCGAAAAAGTGAGGGCAGCACCTATTGAGGAAAAAATGGTAAAAAATCATTTGAGATAATTTGGGCATGTATAAAGAAGACCGCGGGAGGCATAAGTGAGAAGAGCGAAACATATAACTTTGAGTCCTGTTAAGAAGTATAGAGGAAGGTTTAAGAAAACACTCTTGAAAGTTATTGAACGCGATCTCTTAATTAATAATATTCCTAAAAACTTGGTAAATGATGAAGCACAATGGCATCTTACAATCCATGTAGTCGACCTCACCTAATAGGATAAATGCTTGTTGTTGTTGTTGTTGTATGCTGAAATCAAACATTTTGTAGGTGTATTTTCTGACTCCTATTGTACTATTATATTGCTAATTGATCACTTTACAATCTTGCTAACAAATATTTGTTTTTCATAAGTCTAGTGTTCTAACAAATCATCCAAACTTAAAAAACTTTGCCGCCAGTGACCAAACAAGAAGAATGTTGACATTCTAGTAGCTGTTCATTATCTATCTACTAACATGTCCTAATAAAGTTTATATCACTTTGTAGTGGTAGGGCATTGTTGTATAAATATAAGTAGGAAGTCCTTTTAATTTTGTCAATCAAGATCTTTTGCATATTTCAAAAGTTCTTCTATGATTATCTTTCATTTTACTATAACAATTTTAACTTCATTTCAATCAATTGTTCTCTTAACATGCAGTGCACGGGGAAATATTCTAGTTTAAAGGAAAAATTATGAGTCAAAATATTGCAAGTAGAAAAATGTGCCTGGTGTTCTGTGTATCAAAGCATATTTCCCAGAGCTCAAATATCTTCAGTTTCATAGGTTCATACATTTTTTCACTTTTAAAATGCAAAACCAAACCATGAAAGCAGCAAAACAAGGATGAGAGAATATTGTATACTACTGGCAGTGCAATACACTTATAGAGTAATTATCCAATCCAAGAAGACTTAAAATTGAATAATCTAAGAACATAACAAGGGCCGGGAGGCCGTGCATGACGTGATAAGAAGTGATAATAATAGATATCATTGTAATAAGGTAAATATAGAATGCAGCCTTTAAGAAAACTAACGGGAAGCAACATCTGAAACGTAAATGAAAGTTTCCATAGCCTTAGTTTGGGGCTTCATGCAGTTATTTTGCAACAATGAATGCGTTTAAAGGTCTTTCAAGCCAAGGACACAGCAAACACTCTGCCACTCATTTAAACACTTTATACCTCCAATTTCTTTTGCTACAACGCTACTGACAGACAATGAAAGGGCATAAGGCCAAGAAGCGATGGTTGTTCTCATATAGAGACTAGCAACTTGCGAAAACTGGACACATAGCATCCTAAAACATCGTCATCAACCAACATTTTAATAGGGGAACAGCTACTTTACAAACGACGGTAAATGTGCTATGCCAGCATCGCAAGTTTAAAACCATCCGTAATTACGTGCATTGAAGGAGCACAAGTTAAATTCGTTGCTAAGAAGAACAATGAGTTATCCAACAGAACGCCGACGTCACGAGCAAATGACGAAGCATAAGAACCTAAGCAAGCTACACAAGGTACTTACAGATTTCTCGTATCGGTCTCGCTCCGCAGCAGTACAAATCTCAGAAGTGCACATCAACCGATGCTCATTCTTCCAGTATAAATCTGAAATATGACAAATCCATACTTAGGAAAACCAAAAGCCACGATTACATGCATGGATCTCACTAGAATGTGAGATACTTGAGCACAGGTAACACGCAAAGAGAGAGGAAGCGAGGAAAATCCATCTTCAGCGGCCTAATGTAATTAGACTCAATTTCCTCACTTGTCATCCGGAAACCCTAAGCTGAAAATAATTGCAATCATATCCAATCGCCTTCGCAGAAAAACAGAAACCAATGGCATTTCCGAGTCTTTATGGACCGAATTAAGAAATAAATCCATAAAAGAAATAAGAGAAGCAGCAAATCGGAGAGAATACCGAGAAGCTGGAAGCCAGCAAAGGGGACGATGAAGAGAGCAGGTTGTAAGATGAGGGAAACCAGGGAAACCAAACGTTTTTTCAAGAGCTTGGGTGCGGGCAGAGTGAGAAGAATGGCGACGGCGGCCTCCGCTGCCACGACGTACGACAGAATCATCCACTGCAACGCCATTTCCCAGAACTTTCCTCTGCAAATGCCAAGTGGGGATGGATGCGCGTTCTCTTCTCTTCCCTTCTCTTCGACTCGCAGTATTGCTATTCTGTCGATTTTTCTGGGTTCCATCCTTTCTTTTTTCTCATTTTCCCTCCTTTTTCCAATCTCCACCTTTCATTAAATTTATAATTAAAATAAATTTATTAAATAAAATCAAATCAATAATGAAAATTGAGAAAAGAAAGGAAAAGGAGAGGAAGGGAAAGAACTTTTTTCCCTCGTGCCTGGGAGAGGGATCTCTCTCTCTGTCTCTCTCTCTCTTTTTTCTCTCATTCTCCTTACTTTTCTCAATCTTCATTATTTATTAAATTTATATTTAAAATAAATTCATTAAATAAAATTAAATTAATAGTCAGAATTGAAAAAAGTAAGAAAAGAGAGAGAGAAGAGAAATGAACCCATTTCCCTCGTGCCTAGGAGAGGGGTTCCTCTCATTCTTTTTTCTCTTTTTTTTTGTCTTTCTTCCTAATTAAATAAATATCTACATAATATTTAAAAATATAAAATATTTTTTAGACTAAATATTTAAAAATATTTAATGAAAAGCACTCCAAAGTCCCTTCTAAAATTCAGGTAAAAAAAAAGACCTTTCTAAAAGATTTTAATTATCAAAAAAATTTAATAAAATACATAAAATACTTTTAATTCTTAAATTCAATGCAATTACAACTTGGTAAAAAATAATAATAATTTAAATATGAGTTTAATATCAAATTATCATTATCCTTTTCCGAGTTATAGTTACACAAAATTTAGAACTTGATAGTAATTTATATATTTTATGAGACTTTAAGACAACTGAAATACTTGTGTCAAACTTCTTATTAATTTTTTCAAATATGAAAATATTTTTAGCTTCTTCATCATGAAATTAAAAATTTTTGAAAAATATTTTTAATAAATAAATCAGTCCAACATTCATATTTAAAGAAGACATCCTATTACATAAAGACAAAAATATGATATCAATTTAAAGATAATTCATTAACTTATTATAGATTATAATTTAATTAAAAATGTTTTATACACCTTCATCCTAATTTATAAGATAATTTTAAATAAAATTATATATAATAATAAAACTCATTAAATATATTTTACAGTTTATAGTTCTATTTTTCAAAATAAAAATATAAATTTCTAAAAATCATTCATTTAATAACCTAAGAGATAAAATATACACTCAATACCAATTTATAAAACACTTAAAATGAAATTACGTATGTCAATAAAACTTATTAAATATACTTTATAATTTTAAGTATACATTTTTAAAAAATATAAATATAAATTTTAAAAAATAAATTTCATTTAATATATCATATTTTGTGAAATATTAAATAATGAAAAAACACATAATAAAGAGGGAAAGTTAATATATTAAAATAAGTATAATTAATAAAATTTTATTTTTATTAAAATGTTTTATATTTTAAGATATCAACCAACCAATAAGTGTGTTTTATAATTTGAGATGAAAGGAGCACTAAGGTGGAGAAGGCAGTGTTGAAAAGATATATTTAATGAAAACTTATTTTTATTAAATTAACTTATATTTTAAAACATTAAATCACCTTTAAAATTACATATAAATCAAGATGGAGGAAGTATTTCTAAATGAAAGAATAATTAATAGCATATTTTTTCTTTCATATACATATACATATCTATGTTACAAAAATTTAAAATACTGGCTTTTTTATTTAATATCAATATTAACATGTCGTGCACAGTATGTGCAACAACACGATTGAATTGTAGTCTATGGAGATTAAAAAAATATTATAAAAAAATAATGAATAAAAAGTAGCTACGTTCTTAGAAGAATATATTATAATAGAACTTTGCACTTGTCAATTTATAAATACATATGCCTCATTCTAGTTATTGAGTTGTTGAGTTCATCCATTTATCTTTTCTCAAATCTTTACGCGGTTTCAAAGCTCCCTTTCTCTTGAAGGGGATGTTAGGATATGATCTCTCTATGGTGATATTTGTAACAATCAATTAAAATATTAAACTTTTTTAAATTTTTAAGCAATATATAAAAATTTTATTAAAAAATTATAATAAAAATGCTAGAATATGAAATACGTATCATAAACTATTATACATATATTGTATTGAATACATACATTCATTGTTTTTTTTTTTTTAATATCAGTGCTTTATTATGTGTCAGTTGTTACTTGTTAGACTACTTAGCATGATAAATGCAAGAAAAAGGATGCAATAAGAGTGGGAGGAAAAGAAGATCTTTAAAAAGATTTAAAGATCAAGAATGCTCAAAACAAGATCAAGATCAAAATTCAAGAACTAAAATTCTAAAAATCTTATCTTATAAATTAATCATATACTGTCCTAACAATACACAAATTACAACTGCTTCTCGATTACTTGCCAATAACTACTGCTTTTTGCTTCATTCTTTACGGATACTAATGGGAATGGGAAGTGTCTAGTTTGCAACAGGAGATTCAAAACTTTGAGTGAAAGGATGGAGAAGATAATTGGATGAAGTTAACAACTCAATAACTAGAGTGCGAGTTTATGCATTTATAGCTTGATAAATAAATTAAGTTATTTAAAAGTTAAATCCTTTATCAAATACAACTTGAAGATGAAGTTTGATCTTGTTAGTCTTTTTAGTCTTTCGAGTCTTTTTTTTTTTTTTTACAAAACTAGACAGGATAGAGTTTTTTTGGGTTAGATCAAATTGGACAAGATTTTTAAACTTTTACACAGCACTAATTAAAAAAACCAAGTTCTTGCTAATGAAATTGTTTTAATAGGAGGATATCTATGAGTAATATACAAAAAAAAAAAGTTTACTTGATTTTTTCATGCCTCAAGATGCAATGTTTAAACATCTAGATCAACCCGAACAGTTGAACAAGTTGAACTATCACCCGAATATAAAATCAACTTTGTTTGACTTATTAACCCATTTTAAAAATTGATTGTTTTAAATCACTTTGAACTAAGCAGTTTTGACAATCTTAAAACTCAGAATGGTTAGATTACATGGAGCTTTTTTGTTTCTTACTCATATTTTACTAAAAAAAATTTTATTCAATTTAGAAATGTTAATGTCAACTTCCTTCTAATTGGAAAACTTATTTACTTTAAGAAGAGAAATGAGATAAATAAAAAATATACATATGGAAAAAGTGAGGAAATTGAAACTTAATATTTTTTGGCTAAACAACTTTGAATTGAGAATAACATTATATTTTTAGTACTTTATTTATATATTTGTATATAAATATCTTTTTTATTTAATTATTATATTACTTGTTCAGTCTAGTTGATTAAGTCACAAGAATCATAACTCATTGTCATTTTTAATACGGTGTCTAATTCAATTCTTTAAACATTGCTATGATACATTTTTTTGGGGCCTTCAATTTTAATAGATTAAGGTATAAATTTATTTTTAAAATTTTTATATAAATGCGTCTAATATTCTCAAATTTTTTTTTGAAACACTTTTTTCCTAACATTTTTGAATTCAGTGTCTCACCCACTCATTAAAGTTTGATTGTGTTGACCATTAAGTTAAAATTATGATCGTTAAGTGCTTTGATGGCTTGCCACATTAGCTTCCATGTGTAACCTCTCTCCCTTTCATCTCGATCCACCAGACCCAAATCCCGTCGTGAACTATCACCCTCAACTGATCAAGTCTCTCTCTTATCTCTCCGGCTCCATCTCTCACTTTCACTCTCTCATGTCGGTCTCGCACTCAGAATAGAAAACCCTTCTTGTCTTCCTTCTCTCCCTTGGTTCAGCAGCTCCTTCTCCCTTCTTTATCAGCAACGACCATCTTCACCACTTGACAAACGGGAAACGGCGACCTTCATTCTTCTTCTTTCATCGTGAACCATTTGCCTTTGTCTTGGCGAGCGACCTTGTTGGGGGTCTGGGTTTCTGGGTTCGATCGAAGGTTTTGATTTCCTTCTTTCTTTTGACTTTCTGAAAGGTGAAAGGAAGAGTCATGGCTATGGCAAACAACTAAATGCGAGGCAAACTTATGGAGGACATGAGGTTTTCGGAATCAGATTTTTGGGACAAATTTTGGGTGAGTTTGATTCTTGGTTGCATTTGAAGATTGCGTTTGATTTTGAGTTTGATTCTGAATCAGATTTTTGGGACAAATTCTAGGTTGCGTTTGAAGATTGTTTTTGTCCTGCTTTCTTGTTTTGGGTTTTATTCTTGATTGATTCTTGCTTGTTCGATCTGTGTTTTATCCTTGTCTTCTCCGCCTTCTGCTTCCTCTTCTCTTCTCCAATCGAACCAATCACCTTCCTCATCTTCTTTGCCTTCTCCTTCATCTGCTCTTCGAACTGGGTTCTTGTTTTGATTGTTCTAATGCCTTGTGTTCTTTGATTGTTTTTAATCATTTTTTGGTTGATCTTCTTTCATTGTTCTGATGCCTTGCATTCTTTGATTTTGCTAGGTTTGTCTATTTCGTCGAAGCTTCATCTTCTTTGGGAGCTAAATATTCTTTTGCTGGATAATGTTGATTGTGGTTGTGGGTCTGGAATTTTTAATCTGTAAATGAGGGAGGTTTCATTGGCAATGAGAATGAAGATGAGGGAGGTTTCACTAGCAAAAGGAAGAAGAACGGTCTTCATCGATGAGGGAGGAGAAGGGTTGAGTTCAGATTCTCTTATTATTTTTTTAATTTTTAATTATTAAAATATGCCATATGGCTGCCAACATGAAAAGTTAAGGTCAAAATAATAGTCAACACAGGCAAACCCTAATAGCAAGGTGAGGTTGTATCAAATTGAAAAATATTAGGGTAAAATTGTGTAAAAAAATTTGAAGATATCGAGTGTTCTTGTGTGAAAATTTTAAAGATAAATTTATACTTTAATCTAATTTTAATTAAAGATATGCTCACTTTTGTTGGTAATATATAACATTTTTTAAAAGTCCTTCTTTGTTCATAATATGTTTGGTTTAAAGGATGGGGCTAGTAAGAAGTTTTATTTTTTAAAAAAAAATGAACAAGTAAAGTTATAAAATTTTAATAGGAAAAAGGTTAAGAAACAAAAATGACTCAAAAGTTTTCTAAAAAGATCATTAAGTATTCTTATCTTTTAGTTGGAGTAATTTTCTTAGAATTTTTAAAAAGGATGTAATTTTGCTTTATTGTCAAGGTTGATCTTTTGTTTAACTTTACTTGCTATGCGGCAAACACTTAACATTTAAAAAAAACAAAAAGAAATAGGTTTTTCCTCTCTCTCTCTTTGACTTCTTTTTTATCCCCGCTTTCCCTTTGCCCTTTCATTCTCACTCTAGATCTCTTGCCTCTTTAATGTGCTCGAGAATCGCTCTTGTTATAGAAAACGCTTTGCTAGGGATTCAACCCTTCCCTCATATTTGGAGGGTCCTCTGCCAGGCAAAGTGATGCCATTGACAACATCTTCCTCCCGACACAAGCCTAGTTTAAACAAGGGTTCGATTAAGGTATGGGTGGTGTCAGGTGAGTGGGTTTGGGTCTGTGTTTGTGTTTCATAGTGGCAATTTAGAGCTTTGGTAGATCAAAACAATAGAGACACACTTACTATTAGGATTAAGCATGTGACTCCAAGGGGCGTGATTTTGAAGGCATTAAGACAACCGAGGACCTTCAATGCATAACTCATATAGAGGCTAATGATATTTGCTATGTGCCTCCAGACTCTGAGATAAGGGGATGGATCAATTTTAGAAGTGACGATAGGGTCAAAAACCTATGGTGGATTGGGAGATTCAAATTGATAACAGGATTAGGGATTTTAGGCTGAATCTATTCAATGACGATATTAGTAAAGTTGACAAATCTTGAGTAGAGATCTACATGGGTGAAGTTGATCTGCACTTATAGTGACGGACGGTAGTTTTTTCTTTGATTGGATTGTTTCCTCTCTCTTTTTTAATAGTGATTTTTTATTATTGTTCCATTAAATCTGAATCGATGAGGTTAGGAGATTGCTCCATTTTCACACAAATGTTTCCCATTGATGAAATTATGAGCTATAACCTTTTTTTTTTTTTGCACTTTCCTTTTGATGTTTCATTAGCTTTGATGAAATTCTGAGATAGTTTTGGCTTTGATGAGGTTGATTCTAGCTTTGGCTCTTTAAAGAAGAAAAGGAGCCAAAGAAGCTTTGTTTCGATACAAAGAGGCAAAGAAACTTTATGCGGCCGCCTATTTCATTTTTTTTAAATGCTAGGTGTCTATCATCTGAAAAGTAAAGTCAAACAAACAAACAATCAACTCTAACATCAAGACAAAATTGCATCTTTTTTAAAAATTCTAGGACAAAATTATTCTAACTTAAAGGTAAGAATATTCAGTGCTCCTTTCGAAAAACTTTTAGGGCATCTTTACCCCTTAACCTTAGAAAAAATATATATGTAATAAGAAGAAGTAGGGGAAATCAATTAAAAAAATTTAACCCTACTTTTTATTTTTTAAACAAATTAAAACTCATTAAAATCTTCCATAACTCCCCCTCTCTTCATCTCGCTCGAATCAAATAGTCCATAACCTCTCGTGCAAAGGCATGCACTCACAAGTGTCCATATATATATATTTATGAGTTCATTCAAGGGTTAATAAGTAAATAAGACCTTAAACTCTTATTCAAAAATTGGCTTGGACCCTATAACTTGAACTCTTAAAATATAAAAAATAAACCCTAAGCTTTTAAATTCATAGTAAAATAAACCTTGACTGTTAACTTTTTAACACTATTACTGTTCATGTAGGTATTGTTCAGGGCTTATTTTTCTACGAATTTAATCCTAATTGTTATAGTACCTGTATGGACATTAACAGTGTTAAAAAAACTTAAATGTAAGGATTTATTTTGCTATGAATTTAAAAGTTTAGGATTTATTTTGCATATTTTAAGAGTTCAGAGTCCAGAGCGATTTTCAAGCAATAGTTCAAGATTCTATTTGCTCATTAACCCTTTATTCAACATAAGAAGTTTCAAAAAATGAAAATCCCAGAAAGAGTGAAATGAAGAGGAGAGAGAGGGGAATGAAGCCTGGTCCGAGAAACGGTCTATATCTTTTGTAAGAACTCTTGGGCCAGACGACATTCCCCATGCTCACATTCTCCCGCCTGTTAATCTTTGATTCATGCATTTTCTTCGACATTCATCCTCCAAACAAGGACTCCGAAAATCTATATGTGTATACACACACACACACACATCCTACTTGGTATTAAACCAGAGATTTACAGAACTCAGAAGCTATCTTTGATTTTAGAACTCAACTTTTGCAAGTGATAAAAGCTCTCTTTGTCGTTAAGACTTTCCAACCATTGAGTTCTATCTTGCTTGCAAACAAGGTTATTAATTACTCCTCATATTCTTCATAACTGTAATAATATATCATAATTAATCACTTTCATTATATGGTTTCAATTTTTTTATGATATATATTTATATATAATTGCCCACCTCAATCCCCCTTTTTCTTTTCAGCTAATTCACCACTTCTTCAAAAGTTAGTTGACTTTTGGATTTGTGTTAGTAACAATGAGACTACTGGATAGAAATAAATCCAATTCTAGATCTCCATTTTCTCCTTTATGAAATCAAATCAACGTCAAGATTATACTATACAAAAAGTGGGGGAAGGTGCTGAATTTGATAATAATTTTTCAAACTTGTAGTGCAGCTGTTAAAATATTATTTACTTGCCTAGCTACTTTTATAAAGCCAATGATGATTTTGATGTTTTAGCTCTTCTAGAACTAGAAATACTTTCAAGGGTTCCTAATAAATTTAGGTTGATAGGAATAACAAACACATGCAAAATTTAATTTAAATAGAATAATTTTGTGATGAGTTCATCAGTGAATCAACTCATGATTTACAAACACGTTAGCACTGCATGTGCAGAATAAGCTGTTTCAATTTCAATAACTTTTGTTTCCCACCATATTCACTAGGCCAATCAAAAGGACAATGTTGCAGCAGATGAAAAGTCGAAAGGTAAACAAGTGCAATAATATGATTTTCAATGGCCAATGAAAAAACAAAGGATCTTACTACAGATGTTAGGTCTAACGGAGGATGCTATTTTCTTACAATATATAGTGAATTAAGATTTAAATTTCTGTAAAAAAAATGTATACATATTTAATGCCTAATCATATCTCGAACAAAATTATTTTCAAAAGAAAGATACCTGTAACATTTTAATTTTTATTTGAAAAATTAATTGAGGTTTAATCGAGGATTTAATTGTGAAATTATGATGATTCAAGGATTATTAAGATTAATTAAATAATTAGACACTTAATTATAGTCTAAATTGGATCTAGGACAATGCATGAGGGTTATTTGGGGTCCAAAATAGATATTGGGCGGGATAAAGCCCAATAATTTGGGCTTCAATAGAGTGCTCAGTTTTTATATTATGCACTGTGACATAAAGCACAAAATTTTGTTAAATAATTATATCTAAAACAAAATAAAAATGAGAGGGTTTTAGGGCAGTTTTAGGGCAGTTTTCTAAAGCTCTACTAGGCTTCATCATTCTCATCACTAAGGCAAGATTTTTGTCTCCTAACCACTAAAGTAACACCTCTTATCACTCATCTACCATATAATCCTCTCTTTTAGCTAGTTTAAATAATGGTTAGTGTTAGGATTTTGTTTTTGATGACACCCAACCTATTGGTTCAAATTTCAAGGGTGTTTTGAAGATGAATACTTGATGTTTAGGTAGTTTTGATTATATTTATGGCTATGGGATGCTTAAATCTGAAACCCTAAAGTTGTTTTTGGGTGAGATCAATCTAATGATAGTGTTAATTAATGGTTTAGAAGTTAAATAATGGATATATAAGTATAATGATGGTTATGATGAGTAAGTTTAAGGGTTTATATGGAATTCACAATGTGGGGTTAATTAGATTAATTAACATAACCATAAAGTAAGGTATGATTAGTGTCTAGTCATAAATATAAATTATGTTAAGTATTATGTTATGTGAAGATTAAGGTGTTGAAAATGTTGGTAGTGAAAAATCAGTTGCCCGAGGAACTTTAATTTTTAAGAATAAATGTAACTTTATTAATTTGTTATAGTGGATACTTTGTGATTGACTGTGTATATTTTGTTGAAAAAGATTGTTGTTTGGAAAATATTGTATTGAAAAAATGTACATTTGTTGTTTGGAGAATTCTATTGCCAAATGGGATGTTAAATATATTTTTACATACGGTATGAAAAGAATATGTTTGGAAGCATGTTTGTTGTTTAGAATTAATTTTTGATTAGAAAATTTTGTCGCATGACTTATCCGGGTTTGTAAGGAAGTGTGGGAGTTTATTATGTGGATATGAATTTTAAGTCATATAGTATGCCCTCAACTAGACACAATGAGTGGTTTGTCAAGATTTGGACTAGTTTATCTTTAGTCAAGTAAATAATGCCAAGTGTGGACTGAGGTCTAAGAGAAAGAAGGAGATAAGGTGGGCGATCGTGCATCATTCTTATTTAACTTGTTCAGATAAATGTTATTTGGAAATATGTTTTGTATGCTTAGCGATAACATGATTAGTTGCATTGCATGCATTATAACATTTTAGTATTAATTACTATGACTTTTATGTCTCATTTTTCATGGTTAATATTTTTATAAGAGTTAGTCCATTTGGAGAAGCATTGGAGGCAAGGAGGCATGGAGGTAATGTGTGGAACACTACATTGTCTTATTAGTACACCTCATTTGGATGTTAAATGTATAATTTGCCAACCAAAGGACTTGTATTGTCTACATAAGCATGTAGACTCTTAAATTTTGATGAACATGCTTGATGATAGCCATGAGGTAAAGTGTTAAAAATATGTTTAGAGGATGAGATTTATTTATGGTAATTTATGTTGGGTTTATCCAATTATACTTGTATTGGGTGGCATATTAGTTTTGGTTACTATGACCATTATGTCTTATTTCCCATAATTAACAATTTTTTAAGGAAGAGTCCAGCCAAAGAAGCACCGAAGGCATGGTATTGGTATATGAATTACCAACTTCTTGTTAGGCCTTCTTTTGGTTTTGTTTACATATATTTGCCAATCTAAAATATTATTATAATGAGCATCTGTAACTTTATATTTTAAATAAGACTTGTATATGATAGTCATGAGAATGGCTTTGACTCTCAATGATCTTAATTATCGTGATTTAAATGTGATTTGAGTATGAAAATGTTTTATGTACTTATGCTAATTATTTGATTTTAATTGTATTGGGTAGCGATAACCTAACTATGAAAATTTTCATTTGCTTGAATGAATAATGTTTAGGTCATAAGTGTTGATTAACATGTTTTGGAGGATGACAAGTATTTCACAAATGAGCATTGGCATTAGTTTTGGTTTGACACGTGAAATTGTTTGGGAAAAGTGTGTTTCTAGCCTTAACGGGTCTTTGTAGAAAAAATTCTCATTTGGAAACATTTTTATACTAAACCAAGGTCATTAGCTAAATTTTGTAACAAGTTTTGTATAGACACTCGAATCACTCAATTTAAACTTATATAGTTAAATAGAGAATATTGTGCATGTTTAAAGTTAAAAATTTTATTATATTATGTTAAATGTTGAAACTATGTTGTGCAGCATATGTCCCTTTAAAAGAACATTCCTTCTTTGTCATTCGTCATGGCATTGACAACATCAGTTGTGATTGATGATGCGAAAATTATGAAAATCCCTCTATTTGCACTTTTGTTTTTAGAAAGTTCCTTTTTGACACTTCGACCCCTATATAAATTTAGTTTTGGACAATTTAGCCCCTAAAACTACACTTCTATTTATGAATTATAACATTATTTTGGATTTCAAACTCTTATTTTCAATAAAATCCCATTTGGTACAAATTTAATTATTTAATTTCTTCTTAAATTACAATAGTAGGTTTTTATTATTATATTTAATTCTTTGTATCATGGTAGATCTTTTTTCACCATGGTAGTTGTCTTGAAAATGAATTTATTGTATAGAAAATACTTTTCTATCATGATAAGCCATTTAAAAATTAAGTTGATTCTTTATTACTATGATAGACTCTTTTCTACCATAATAAAATTTTAAAATATTATATTTTGTTCATTTTACTGTGGTAGAATTTGTTAGTGATCTTTAATCCTTTATATCAGAGTAGACATTTTTCTAACATGATAAGTGTTTTAAAAAAAAATTATGTTTTGGGTTAATTACTCTGTTTGGTGGAATAAAAAGGTTTAAAAAATTAGTGTTATACTACATGACCCAAAAAAAAAAAGTCAGTAAAACACATCTAGCTACAGATAGTGATTAACAAGTAACGTGTAAATAGCAAGACAATGAGACGTTAGATTTTAACGGTTCAAAGACAAAAATGACACAAGTTAAGTTCATCTAGACACTTGAAGACCCTACACAAAAAATTTAAAAACAAAAATGACCCTTAATCTTATATTATATATAGTTTTTCTGCTTCTCAATAAGTGATATAAGTAAGGCAAAACAAACATGCATGCCTCTTTGAATTTTTTTACGCAATCCAAACAAATAATTTTAAATTCATAAATTTTAAAATATGAGATTTTCAATCTAAAATTTAAATTCACCAATCCACCAGTGACCTTAAAATTGAGTTCATTTATATGCATTATCATCTAGCTTCAAACGTCAGAGAACCCATTTTTTCATGATGCTATCGGGCCTAACACACACCAATTAATGAAAGTAAAAAAGACAAGAATAAGTTTGGTATAACAGGAAAACATTATTAACCAATTCATTCAAAACAATATTGAAGATCCACACCCTCTTTTAAGCCATAGCTGCAAAAGAAAACAAACCATTGTGAATCCATCTTCTTTGAAAGCCCTGGAAGCTGCAAAAGAATATTTCCAGCTTTAATTTGTTTCCTTCTTCACTTGAGATTTGAGAACAAGGATAATAAACTATAACAAATGCTTGAATAATACTACCATGCATGCGATACACCAATAAATAATATCAACATTTCAACACTACAGAATCTATCATGTGAATAAATCTCCCACATGGTTTTTATTCCCCCCCCCCCCCCAAAAAAAAAAAAAATTCAATTCTGGCATCTTAGCAGAAAGGTATGTCACTTGTCTTCATTGTTGCCGCTGCTCATTTGGATGGATGACCACAACAGTCTTCAATTCCTTGCTCCTCAATGTGAGGTTCACTTGTTAGAAATAGCTGCTCATCATTGTTAATCATGTCAACATCAAGAATTCTACCACCATGCTGAGATAAAATGCGGGAACCTTTGGGAAATTTTAATTGTTCTCTTGCCATCTTTATTAGCTCTTCAATGCTGCCAGGAACCCAAAGGACAGCTCTTTCTCTTCCATCCTCTTTGAGATCCCATGGGTGGAAAGGAAATACAGTGCATTTCTTTTTCGGACTTCCATCTCTTGATGGTGAAAGATGTGTTTCTGCTATCTTAGTCCAAGTAGCAATGTCAGAATGCTTACCTGAAAAAAATAAATAATAATACATATATAAAGATTAAATGTATATCCAATATATATAATCTCGCTTTTCTGGACCAGTTTTTTCCCTCTCTAAATGCATAAATGTAGTGTGATTTAATTTTCATAATATCATACTTAATATCTCTCCGAATCCCAATAATTCAATTACTTGTAAGATACTCCAATGTCGTAGATGTTTGTATTTAGAGTCTTAATTAATATCATATTTACATAAAAATGCATGATGCCAGAGAACTCAAGATTTCACATTCTAAAGCATTACGTGCCTGTTTCGAATACATTTGATTGTCTTTCCGAACAAGGGTCAGTATTCCAATACTTCAACTACCTACTATAAGATATTCCAATATTCCAAATGTGTCTTCGGCATTTTCACATCATATCTATATAAGAATAATACTATTTGATGCCTAAAAATTTAATATTTTACATTCAAAAGCATTGTGCGCAAATATAAATGATGCTATTATATACTCCCACCATCTCAGTTTATAAAACACTATTGAAAGTGATTTGGTATCCAAAATATGAGAAACTTTCACAAAAATGAGATTTCATCAATTATACTTATTCCAATATTACATTTCTCTCCTTATTATATGTTGAATCTTTCTATTTAATGTTTCACAAATTAGGTTATATTAAATAAAAGGTATTTTTGACAATTTATATTTGTTTTTTTAAAAAATAAAATTTTAACATGTATTTAATAAATTTTATTGATACATGTAAATTTGTCTAAAAGACAGAGGACGAACTACAGAAACATAACATCTACTATACCTTGTGTTTCCTGAATACTATCTGATATCTCAGAAAGCTGAGAAATTTTTGCTACTTCAAGCAATTTGATCATGTTCCTATTTCCACCTATGCGAGCATCATCAAGTGGCGTATATCCCCACCTGCAAGCGGAAAATGGTCGATGATTTTATATTACAATTCAGTACGCACTGGAAGAAAGATGCTATTATAAGAGTTTTCCAAGTTAAAAATGGCCGAGACGTGTAGTTGAGCTATAGGAGGTGGCAGTGACATTTGAACTCATGTCTAATAAAAATAACTCGAAATTCAGATCGTACCTGTCCGTTGATAAAACACTTGCTCCTGCTTCTATGAGCGTTTCAGCAACGGTGAACAAACCCTCCGAGGCAGCTATATGAAGAGCTGTTCGTTGATCGTAATTTCTAGAATTTGGATCTATACCATGGGCTAAAAGCTTTCTTAAAAGGTCCAGTTCCTTCGTTGCAGCAGTCATGCATAGAAAACTTCCAGCATCTTCAATGGTAAGAATAGCCCCCTTATTTACAAGTAAAGAAGCTACTTCTTCATGTCCATTCTTTATGGCTTCAAACAATGGAGTATTCCCAAACTTATCTAGTACAAGCAGTTGATTAAAATGTAAAACAGTGTTTTGCTAACCGATGACGTCTTCAAATAAAAAAAAAATGATGATCACTAAAATTCGCAAAAATCAGTTTAAATTTCAACAGCTAACCTGATAAATCAATATTCACTCCTTTGTCAACAAGAAAGCAAGCAATATCTACATATCCTTTAGATGCAGAAATATGCTGTGGTAACAAAGATAAAAATGTATTAGCACCATTACCTCTTCTCACTGGCATTTCTCATCAGAATTTTATGTAGATAAGATACCACTGTCAAGTCTTATGTCTTTTTTTTTTTTTCCAATTTTAAGAGGGAAGCAGTTTAAAAAAAAAAAAAAGCTTAAATCCATCATTGTAGGCTTGCAATGACCTGTAAAGCTTAGACTACTATATGTTTGGCATCACTCTTCTGATCCAATTCATTTCATCAGTGAATTCCTAAGCTTTTTTTCCTTTTCTTCTTCTAAGAATAAGCTTCACCCGCCCTACCGTTGATAAAACTTTCGTAGGAAGACGAGAGACATTTTATATGCTCTTTTATCCTGATAAAAACAAGACATTTTTTATGCTTAATGAAGAAAAGAGCCAGCACGGTAAGCTTCATCACTGAGTGATTCACTGAAGAATAGGTTGGATGCATGAAGTTCATACCAAAGGTGATCTTCCATCATAATCAGTTTTGTTGGGATCTAGTCCTGATTCAATCCAATGTTTCAAAAGATAGAAATCCCCCTCATAGGCAGCACAATTAATCCTCACAGCCAGTTCTGTTTCACGATTTCCAATTGTCAAGGTGAAGCCTGATTCCAAAATCTCATGCTGAAGAGCACAGTCTTTTCCCTGTCAGTCAAGTACAAATACAAAGAATGGATTATCTCATAGTTAGCAGCCCAAAATTAAACACTATAGAACCACACATAAGCATCAGTGTGTATCAGAAAATAGACAAACTGACTTGCTCAACTCCCAAGAGCTGAACACAAGCTATCATTGAGCTTTAGCCTTTTTATATCATGTCTATCAGTGGCATCTAGAATAAAATGTAACGTTGCCTTTTTCAGAAACCATCTCAAAAGCATACCTCAAGAAGATTTTGCAAGATAACCCGGCCATCTAGGAAGTATGTTTTGAATATTTCTGTAAAGGATAGCTTATCTAGGCGCAGAACTTTGCAAAATTCACGAGCGCGAACCATGTAAGTTTGAGGCAAATTGCAAAGAAAGGAAACCTCGCCAAAGGAACTGTAGGTTTGATCTTGCTTAACCAGCTCTTCTCGTTCATCATCTTCCATTCTTAGCTCTTCCTGTGGACAAGATAAAAGCCATCACACAAAATTTGAAAAAGGGATACAAAAATTTAATCAGGAGTGGCACTTGTACGTAGATTTTTTGAATGTAAAAGTATGACACTTACATGATAAATAATTTAACATCCAAAATGCTCATCCATATATACATCTGTGAAGTACTGAAGTAATGAAATTGATTTAACATAGGTCATCCTGATTCTGGCTTTATGTTTCAATTAGATGTGGATCTTATCCATTTCATGGAATCCGAGAAATAGGTCATAATATTCTCAGGGGAGATGTTTTGTTACTCTACAAATAAACATAAAAAATATACATAAATGCACCAAATGAGTTGAGCTACCAGAATTCATACCAGCTCACCATGGCATACAAGGTAAAGTTGATCTACTAAATCTCCTTTCTCCATAATAACTTCTCCTGGGAGGAAAAACTCCTCATGGACATTGATTGCCTGTAAAACAAAATATTGAGAATGTCATCTCCTCAAAGAAGGATTAACTTTATCCTGCCCCTTTTTGTACGACTGAATGCAACATGTAACACCAGTAAATTCTTCAAGAGTACATGAACTTAGTGGCCGAAAAAAAGAGTACATGAACTGAGATGGAAATCCAAAATTCAATATAAAAAATTTAAATAACTGTTCAGTAAACAATTTAAACATCCTTTGAACTTCTCTTATATACTAATTATTAGTATCTTCATCTCATCTGACAGCTAAAGATCCAAACTAGAATTACATTTTAATTAAGATTCACTTTGTAGCCTCAAAAATTACCTATACATATAACATGTCAAGACAGAATCTGAATATTGGTGTTCTTCGTGGTGAAACATATTATTTAGGTGCCCGTGAGATAGTTTCTTCGCTTTGACAAATAAAATTTTGCTTGCTCGTGTTGTTTTCTCTGTTGGCTTTGATGGCTAGAACTCTTTCAAAACCAGTGAAACATGAGGTTTATATTAGAAAATTTCAAAAAAAAAAAAACATAAAATTGTATATATACAAGTTTCTTAACTGTGCTAACAGCTTGCAGCAACTTGTACCTAACAAGTAAGCTACCAACCTAAGAATATTAAGACACAAATATCAGATCAAATTACAGAGACTTAGGATATTGTCTTCCAACAAAGTAATTTCACACGTTTCATTTTTGAATTTAAAATGTATAGCGTTTCACCCAATTTGAAGTTGAAGCACTTACAAATATCACAAGAATTCAAAATGCATAAAGTACACTTTAGGCTTTTCAACTAAATTATTCCAATCCAGGATACTAGCAAGTTAAAAATATCTTACAACATGTTTAATGAACCCAGAAGAACATCCCTTGAAAAGATGAACTTTCTGAATGAATTGCTCATACAAATCCATTGAAATCTGCAAAAATACATTATTAATAAAGTATTAAGTAAATGGTGAACAGAAGTGTTATCTCAGTATCAAAACAAACCATCAGTTGATTTGGTTCTCTCTTTTCTCATTAACATATTTCAGTGTCATAATATGAGAAAGTCTAGAATGCAAATAAAAGAAGTTATGCAGCATTTTTGTGACCGATTCTCATTTTAAGGATTTGAAAACCGCCTTTCACAATTGAGATGATAAAACAGGTTGCATTATTTATTAAAGTTTGTCAACATTAGTTTCAAGGGGTGAAACCATCAGTAATGAACTTCTACAGGCAGAACTTTGACTAAAAACGTCACATTAGATTCTGAAACCAAGTCAGTAGCAAAGAAAAATTTCAAGAGTGAACAGTGTAGATAATCTTATGACGACCAAAGATAAGGAACATATCACTAAAATTACATTTTGAAAATTGTTTCACCTAATTTTGTTGCTAATTGAGACAACTTCATCTTGCAAATACCTTTGTGCGGATAGAAACTGGAACATCTTCATCAATAGCGGCCTCAGTGTCTCTGCGGTCATATTGTAAGCGCAAATGGCCTCCAATCTCCTTAGTTATCTGCTTATCCAATTTTCTTTTATTCATGTACTTGATAAGTTCAGACATTTTGTCCCTAAACTTCTCTGTTCTTGATCCTTTCACGACCAATGCTGTCATGTTACCAAAAAGATAAGCAGCCAGAATCATGTCAGAGGAAACAAATATCATGACAAATATCATTTCCCTGACATTGACTGCATGAATTTCTCCAAAGCCTGCAAAATAATATATAGAACTGCTTCAGTTCACTTGCGCCATATAAGCTTTTAATGGTGTAAGGGGTCATAAATCATGAAAGACTGCCTGGGAGCGCACTCGCCCAAACAAATCATTAGTGATGCTCCAAAGATTAACTGTACCAAGTGACCTAATTATTGGAACTAAAAGCAAATCATCATCAAATACGAGGTCCTAGCAAACTAAAACCACTTAAGTGCTATATTCACATTGCCCATCGCTAAAGCTTATCAGTTCCAAAAGCAGCACAAACATCATGATAGAGTGTAGCCTATGCGAGATTGGCTACCTGTTGCAGGACACTAGAGTTTGACCTATTCAAATATATGGGATTTACTTAAAATAAAGGATTAAAAAAAATATCAAACGTGTTCTCAAAGGAGGGAAAAAAAGCCTTCAGTTAACAATTGATATTGCGCCTACTTTGGAAGTCCATTAATATATATTAAATAGGCATTATGTATCTTCAATTTTTAACACTTCTCGAATCTTTAATTCCTTCTAGAATCAATTTTGTTAGAAAAAATTGTAAAGAAGTTTTATTTATTAATTTGCGACTTTCTGGTATCAAGACCACTCAATATTAATTTTAGGACCAGCATTACTTGTACCACTCTATGCCACATGACCCGCTTTCAACATGTGTGATCTCAACTACGCTCTTAGTTGGTCTATCAATGTGAAGAGAATGACACAGAAGGAAAGTCGCTATTCACTAGGCACAAGGGAAAAATGCGTTTAAAGAAAAATGTTCGTGAAAAAAATCAGTTTAGGGGGTTGGGGAGGAAACATTCCCAAGCCCAAACACAGTCATCGTGGAGATTAGTATCCACTGAATCAACACTTGAATTACAAAGCTAAGTTAAATTATTATTAACCTGCAATTAAAAACTACTACCATTTACTGAATCAAATAAAACTCTTATCAGGCAGTCAAAAAAATGGTTATAACAACCAAAAGAAACCAAATAAACCCTTACAAAGATTATATATTTCTGTGAATATTTAAGAATCTTACCAACAGTTACCATGGTAACTATTGCAAAGTAGAGTGATGTCACATAACGCCTCCAAAGACTAATATGTCTGAAGTCCGAATAGCTGTAGTCACCCATCTTCAAGCTGCCTATCCATGTATAACCTTCCTTAGAAGGGGGCAAAGTGGTAGCAAGATAGTAGAAGATGCAGGCAGCCGTATGTGTGCAATAGAGTTCAACAACAAGAAGTTTCACAATTCTAGTACAGCGGTAATTGATCCTCATATCTTTCTCCAGCTTCTCAAAAAATTCAGTCACTCTAAATGCTCGCCATAGCCTGATCCATAGAAGATACCTCACTGGCTCTTTCCTGCCAGCAGCCTGACAAGAGAAGTAAATAGATATCAACATAAAAGACAATTGGGCAAAGTCAGCTATGGCATGACATGTTCAAAAGATATCACGACAACATACGTCAAGCATAAATCTTACAACTAAAACCTGGGTTTGAAATTTAAATTGACACGACTCCTGGGTGTTATCTACGCACCATCAAGTTTGATCATGGCAATTATTTGGCCAAGCATAAAAGACATCATTCAAGCATGCCATGTCATATTATAAGTTGATCGTATAATGAAAGCTTCTTTAAGGAGTTCGTGATTCATCATAATAAGCGGCAGAATCTCATAGGCAAAACAAGAATAGCAACAGCAACAGCAAAAATAAGCACCGTATTAACGAGCTAACTTGCAAATGCTTCTTTGATACTGGTGACATATCTAAAGTTTCATGAAGTGCTCTAATCAGTAATGCATAGGCTGACTCTAAAGCTTCTAATTCATCAGATTTACCAAACGAAAACCAAAACAATAGCAAAAACAGACATAAATTACCTTGTAAATATAATCCCAGGGCAAACAACTCAGAAAATCGGGCGTGAACCGTGACTTCAAGTACCTGGAAATTACCACGTCAACCTTCAACAACCGAACTCAAGAAAGTAAATAACAAATAAGCCAGATGAAGATTGCAACGGAAAAAGCAAATTGAGAAGGGAGTGCACCTCTTCGCGATTTTACGGTGATCGAAGACCCAGGAATTGGAGGAGGAGGTATCACGGTAAGTGAGGAAAAATCGGATGACGATATCGACGAGGAAAGCAAATTGGCCGGCAATGTCCAGGAGGAAGATCTCCTCGGGCAAGCCTCTGAAGAAGCCGAACTCCATGGGAGTGAAGAAGGAAGAGTACACCGCCCATATCAGAATGAAATGCTTCCACACTACGTACCACCTGCAATTTTGCCAACAACACCGCCACTTCTCAACAAAGACCAGGGCAGCTCCTTGGCGCCAAAGAATTGGAAAAAAAAAAAACAAATTTTTTAAACCCAAAAAAAAATCTGGTAAGCTTATCACCGTTTTTACTTTTCATATATAAATATATAATCTATTTATTGTGGAGACCGTTGTGTTCAAATAAATTAAGACAAAAACTGGAAAGGGGGGGGGGGGACCATTTAGAGGGACGAATGAAGTAGCTCCGATCTTCCTCTTCCTCTTCTTCTTCTTCGTCGTCGTCGTCGTCTCTTCTTCTGCTCTTCTGCTTCGTCTATGGATGTTCATGATCTTTGTTATCATTTCCTTCCACAAAATGCTCTCTGCGTGAAGAATGCGGGTGTGTGTTGACAAGATTCAACAGGAGTCTGTGGATAGTGGTGACAAAGAGAATCATGAATGAAAGAGGCTTTGCATTTATCATCTTGCTTTACTAGTTAACTAGTGGTAAGCCCACTGCTTCACATGGATTCGTACTATTGATGATTTTAGAGTAATTACTTCAACTTCATGCCTCCCTAATATTATGCCTCTTGGATTATTTATCACATCCAAGACAGCTAACATTCTAATGATGCATCAAGCATGATTTGCGTTCTCATCATACAAACATGCGTAAGATTCTTGATTTAAGTTTTTTTTTTTTTTTTGGTTTTACATTTATCTTTGTTGGAACTTGACCTCTCTTCATTTCCTTTTTACTTCTCATCTTTATTATTGAATTTATTTTTGAATGATTGAGATTTGATATTTCATAAAATTATTATTATATTTATTTTTTATAAAATTTTAAATTTTAATAATTGTTTTATAAAATATTAAATTTTAACCATTCAAAAATAAATTCAATGGTCAAAATGAAAAGTAGAGAGGAAATAAAAAGGGGGAAAATGGAGAAAAGCAAGGCCCATCTCAATTATTTAGTGTTACTTTAAAATTTCATTTAATCAAGAAATGTTTTATTATCATTTTTTGTGGAAAAATGATAATAAAATTTCAATAAAATATATAAATAACAATTAAATCTTTTGAAATATCATAATTCATCTAAAGTTCCTATAAGTTTTTCTGACATTAATGATTTTTAGTTAAATAACTAAATTGTCTCTTGTTTAAATAAATAATAATAATGCATTTATATGAAAAGTTATGATTTCTTGTTCAATTCTTACGATTCATATAATAAAAGTTGTGATTACTTAACTAAAAGTTATAACTAGTTATTTTTAAAATTTAAACTTCAAGAATAATAAAAATTATGAAATATTGTGATTTCTTGTTTAATTATTGTGATTCATATAATAAAAGCTATTATTACTTAAATAAAAATTGTGATTGGTTATTATCAAAACTTGTACTTCAATAATAAAAGAAATTTTATATAAAAAATTATAATTTCTTGTTCAATTTTGCAATTTACAGAATTAAAATTGTAATTGCTTAAATAAAAGTTATGATTGAGACTGGTTATTTTTAAAATTTATTTATCAATCATTAAAAAAATTCATGTACAAAGGTGCAATTTCTTGTTCAATTTTTATGATTTATAGAATAAAAATTATGATTATTTAAAAAAATAGAGCCAAACTAGTTATTTTTATTTTAATCAATGGATAATTTAGTCATTTAGCCTAAAATCATTAATATCATTAAGGTATATAGAAAATTTAAAAAAAATTATGACATTTTAAGAGACATGATTATCCTTTGTATATTTGGTGTGATTTTATTTTCATTTTTTCAATTTTTTTTTGGGTTCGGAATTGATTTGGATTGTTGATGATGAAATGGCATTATATGTGTATATGCGTAAGCTTAAGGAATGAATTATATATGTCTAAGCTTCTCCCTTGAGGGAATCGCTTAACGCTAAATGGACAATAATCTTATATATATCCATGGGAAGAGATAGGAAGCCGCTGTCTCTTTAACTTTTTAATTTTTTTTAATAAAATAAAAGAATTATATATTTTAAATTTTTTTAAATTAACACGTTACAAAAATTTTGAGACAATAGATAAAAATTTTATTTAAGTCTCTATGTAGTTTTTTATATGCAACTGTTTTCATAGCTTCTTAGAGATATAATTGTCATATAATATAGTTATTAAACTATAAAGTCACTTATTCTGAAATTAAAAAATTATAATTAAGATGTTTTTTAAAAAAATTATTTTTTGTAATAATCAAACTATTAAAATTTATAATATAAATATTTTTTAATATAATATAATTCGATATCATCAATGCAAAAATTTTATAACAATTAAGTATCATTATTATGTTAATACATTTATTTATTATAATTATCAGTTAAAAGAATTAAATTATAAATTTAATAAGCAAGTGATAGAATTTTTAAAATTAAGCAGACCTTTAGATTGTAAGGATACATTTAAATCATTCACCATTCGTGGGAAAAATGAAATTTTCACCATTTTAATAATAATTTATATTGAAAAAAAATTGTGAAAAATTTTGTCATAAACATAATAATTAATTATTTTTATATCATTAAAAAACCAATAAGAGAAACTTAAAAAATAAAAATAAATATTTATATTATAATTATAAAATTAAATATAAATATATATGTTAAAATATTTATATTATATCAATAATATATACAAATTTAATTTTCATTCAATTATCACAATTTCACCACCCTAATAAAAAGTTCGCTTTGCCCTTCCCTATATGTTGGGCTCCATATTTTTTAAAATAATTAATAATTTTTTATTTACTTTAAATTTGATTTTTCAATCGTTGAATTTTAATTTTATACAATTCAGTTGTTTAACTCAGAATTTTAACTCGATGCAATTAATCCCTATAACTTTAGCATTTAAAATATTAATTTTTAAATTTTAATAATAACTTTATTTCTCATAATTTTTTTTAAAATTTCAAGATAAATATTTTAAATAGATAAAATTATAACAATTAAACTGTAAGACTCAAAGTTTAAAATTAAGTTTTAAATAATTCAAAATTATTCGAATTGCTTTAAGTCAAAATTTAATGATTCTAATAGAATCAAAATTATATCGACCAACTAATTATTTTTTATTTTTTTATCTTATCTAAGATTTATTTTAAAATAAAAAATAAATTAAATTGAAAATAAAATTTGAAATTTGAAATTTATTTTTATAATTAATACAATGTAAATATAAATATAAATATATAAATAAGTCGTAAATGATAAAGAGAGATATCACCCCGAATCAATGCTCGAACAAAGATGTCAAAATGAAAGATTCATTGTCACCGCGAATTTATGCTCTAGTAAGATGCAAAGATTTATCACACGTTTTCATTTAACAAAAATTATTCTTCAAGTTAACTTATTCCTTTTTTTTTTCCCTACTATCAATTATTTTTTTATTAAAAATGTAAAGCATATTTAATTATTTACTTAAATTTTACTCTCAATAAATTAATTAATTATCTTCTAATTAACACCATGTTTCCATATTTATCTTTATTCAATAAAATATTTTACTTAAAAATAAATATAAAATAATTTACTTATTAATGACATTTTTGGAGTGTAAAACACGGCAATTATATATTAAAATATTTAAAAATATCTTATATTTTTAAATATTTAATTTTTAAAAAAATGTTTGATATTTCTTAACAGGAGGGATAGCAATTCCCAATTTTCCATCCTATACATAATTCAATATTCATGACTCTATCAATTCACAGTCGTATTTTCCCAGTAACTAAACATGTTGATTCACGTATTACACATAATTTAAGATAATTCAAATTATTAATAACTGAGCTTCTTTCTTATCCAAAAAAAAAAAAAAACTAAGCTTTGTTTTCTTTTGTGCCTAGTAGCTGTCTGTTAAAATTATTATACCACCTTATCACCTCAAGCCTCAAGAACTAGATTACTGCCGGAGGTAAATTGCAGATTAACTTTATAATTATCATATAATAAAGGAATATTTAAGCCCCAAAGAAAAAACACACTAGAGACAGATTAATTTGGTTGCTAAGAATGATAGTCACATCGCACAAAGGCATGGGTTTGAATCTGCTTCTAATATGAGGACCTTGTTAATGTGGAATTTGCAAATGCCTCATTAAGCACTCTTAATGACTGTAAGTATGCTCTAATGTAACGTCAAAGCACAAATTCAAATCCAGATTATAATAGGTTTAAGCTAGGATGTGTACCTTTTTTTTTTAACCAAGTTATAGGATTTGAACTTAAACGACTACTTCTTCATAGGACCGATTAGTATCTCGGCCCAGATTGCAGCCTATAATTTTTCATACAAAAAGCCCTGATAAATTTGTTCGTGTTAACTCTTATCTCATTGACGTGCACACAACCATTTCCAATATTTATATATATAAAAAAAAACAGTACGAAGGATTGACCCGGTTAATAATTTTTAGGGCCTAATGGCTTGTCTCTTTTTGTCAAATTGGCAATTAGCCTATTACTTTAACATTCAAATTCTCGGCTCGTTTCACCAAAAAATTCTCATGAGCCTAAATATGTAACGGCAAGTAAATTCTTAATATGAGATATAGCTTTTAAAGAGATATCCATCAGTTGCTGATTATTTTGAATCAAAGACCTAAAATACCAAATGTAAAGAAAAAACTCTAATATTTCAATAATATATTTTTTATATATCATTATCTAACAAGGTCAGATTCAAGAATTTTGGGTGCAATTGGAGGTAATTTTTTTCAAAGTTGCTTTTCTGCATCCACATAGCTTGAACTTGAAATCTCATGTTTAAGCAATCAGCCAGTCATAACTTCTTCCATTTAAGCATCCACATTCAGTGTTCATCGTAGTGATGAGCACCGCGTGCTCATTAGTAGGAACAATTCCAACCCTTCATTTTAGTTTTATTTGATTCTTGCTATCCATTTAAATTAATTTTTAAATATTTTTAATATTATATTTATTAAAATAAAAAATATAAAAAATTAATATTAAATATGGACTATTTAGAGTATATTTAAATGGTTAATTTATAAATTTTTTAATATTAAATTAGGTCATTTAAATTATATCTGAACTGTATAGAATTTATCTCTATAGTCAATTATAAAATTATATTTTATTTAATATTAAATTAAACTGCTAGATTAAATATGTACCAACCAGATTTGTAATAAACACATATTTTTTTATATTTTTTATATTAACAAATATAATATTAAAATTTTTTAAAAAATTAATTTAAATAGACAGTAGGAATCAAATAAGGTTGAAATAAAAGTTCAGGATCCCTCCTGGCCTGCCGAATGCAATTCCTCCATTAAAACTTATGATGCCAGTCGGTATTTTAATAACATATTTATAAGTCAAAATATATTTTAAATTAAATAATATCTTCATAGACCCGATAACATCCAACGGGCCCAAATTGAAGCCCAGATAGTTTTATTCATGTTTGTCTTCGACGTGGTGAGTCCCAATAAGCAAAATAGGCCC